ATAGACTTGTCCAGGCTTCTCTCTTTGCTTCCTGAAACTGGACTTCCTCCTTTCATGCCTGTGAAAATAAAATTGGTCTTTGACATCCTGGTGCCTGCATCTGCGTATTCTATCCATTGATCTAGTCCAGAGATGGCAAAACTTTGAGAGATGGACTGCCCAAACTTCAACCCAAATCCCACTCACAATCACAAAGTGCCAATGCTGCAATTAAGCCTGCTAACATAGTTTTCAGCTGAGAGGGCAATGCTGGGAGGATGTGGTTACTTGTCAATGCAGAAGCTTGTACATTGGAACATGTGCCTTAGGGTCATAGCCTTACCACCAAGGAGCTAGTCTGTGGACAGGTAAAGGTGGTGATTTGTGTCTCAGTTCTGAGCAAGTTTAGAAAAGGCACTTGTCAATTACACTATAATTCAAAAATAAGGATAAAATAAAAACATTTTGAATAGAACAAGGAAATTGAGACTTACATATTAAGTGAAAGATTTACTTATGGTTGAAAGAAATTGAATTTTGGAATAAAGTATTTAGCAGCCAAACACAATAGTTAGAAAAACAATTATAAATTTGTATGAAGCTCATGATTATTGGCTGCAAAAGAAGAACAATTCACATGTTAGAAATATAAACTCATATATTGTGGGTGCATGAATTCATTAAAGTGATCCAATATAGGCCCGTAGGCTATAATAGTAGTGGGTTATCCACATGACTGGCAATGTCAGAAGTTGTTGACTTGAGCCTTTTACAGCTAAGAATATTAATATGGCTTTACTTTTCATACCTTGTTTTTATACTTTTTTTGCTGGATGGTTAAGGCCAAGACAAAGCAAGACCTGTATAACAAAAAATGTAGCTTCTGTATCTCACCAGGTCAGTCAAATCCCCTCAGGATTTACTCTGAAACCTTGTAGAGTAGTTTGTAGATCCTTTATCAGTGTCAGCTGTGTGGATGACTCATGGCCATTGCTTGACTGATTTGCTCTCTGTAAAAGCCTGAGAGAATGATTTCTCTCCTAGGTGATTCTCCTTAGGCACACTCTACATCGTTGATCACTTTCATCTGTGGCCCCATAATCTCCTTGATCTGAAAATTTGGGCTACCACTGAATTATGGGATGTTACAGTACAGGTTCTCTTATGTACTGAGTCCAGTCCTGACTGACCTTGAAGGGCTAGGGCCAAAATGTTGGCTATACTTGTAGCCCTTCTTTTAATTTTTTGTCTGCAAGCTTGAGTTGTTAACCCACCAGAAGAGAAGCTTAGTGATATCATTACCCTAAAACACAAGCTGTTGAGCTTAATATCAGCATCTGTCTGAATATCAAATACCTTAGACATAACACGGAACAGGTATTTTCCATCAGTCATTGATGTGCTAAACTTTACATCCATACAGAATGTGAAAAAAAAAGTAAAAGAAAAGAAATAAACAATCACAAATTTTTATTCAGAAATTTAGAAATGTAACCATATACAATATTGTAGCAGGACAACGGAATGCCCATCTCTGACAAAAGTAAACAAAAAAGGGGGATATAAATGAAGGACCATTTTGTAGTGAAAAAAATTTATATATCTATATATACAAGATGGCATAGATATATGGCTACTTTCTCTTAGTTGAATGAGAAGAAAATTTTGAAGTAATAGTGCTTAACAAGGTATGTTTGCATCTTGTACTATGAATAACTACTGCAAAGACAACAATATATGCAATGTATTAATTATTGTAATTGTCCTACTTACCTGTTTTAAAATTATTTCATTGCTACTTCTTTCTCAATAAAATTATTATAAAAATAAAATATAACCCTAAATGAAAAAAAATACAAGCATAACTACTAGACAGCTTTATAAGGAACAGGCTGTTGTCATTTTAGGAATGAAAAATTTTGTATTTTCGGGGAAACAAATTTAAATTACTTTAAGATATTTTACGTGAACTATGGATGATGAAAAATTGGGGCAACAAAAATATAGAGAGATAAAATGCATAATTTCTAAACCTGATTGAGGCAAAATTTTAAAAATCTTGATGAATCTAATAAAATAAGACAGGGTCTTCTGCTTAACTGGCAATGACAGAAATTGTTGACCTGAGTCCCCCACAGCTCAACATAACAGCATGGCTTTATTTCTTATATTTTGTTTTTATACTTTTCTGCTGGATGGTTAAGACCAAGGTAAAGAAGGACCTATGCAACAAGAGTTGTAGCTTTGGGGTCTGATAAGATCAGTGAAATCCCCTCAGGAATTATTTTGAGATCCTGTACCTCAGATTGTAGAACCTTTGTCAATGTCAGCCATGTGGATGAGTCACGGCCATTGCTTGGCCAAAGTGTTCTCTGTGAAAGCTTGAGAGAATGTTTTCTCTCCATGTGACTCTCCTTAGGCACACTCTACATTATCGATCACTTTCCTCTTTGGCTACATAATCTCCTTGATCAGAAAATTTGGGACACTACTGAGTTACATGATGTTACAGTACAAGTTCTCATATGTCCTGAGTCTTAATTGACCTTAGAAGGCTGGGGCCAAAATGTTGGCTTTCCTTGCAGCCCTCCTTTCTCTCAAATTTTGGTCTGCAAACTTAGGTTGTTAATCATCCAGAAGACAAGCTTGTTGTTATTATTGAACAACTTAGGCTGTTAAGCTTAACCTCACTCTCTGTCTGCATATCAAACATCTTAGGTGTAATATGGAACAGGTATTTTTCATCAAGTATTGATATGTTGAACTCTAACTCCCTACAGAATATGATAAAAAAAACATTTACAAATTAGAATATATTTTAAAAATAGACATAAAGAATTATATACTTCTCATGTTTGCATATAAGTCCAAAAATCTCACCATATACAACCTTGAAGCAGGACAGTCCCACAATATTCCTTTTCCTTCTCTTGCTTTCCTTCGCCACCCCCTTCTTCTTGAACAACCATCTACCTGAGAGACATCATAGCAGTAACTGGCATGTCATGACAAGCAGCCCATATTCAGAAGACCATAATGACAGGCACTCCAAGCATGAAACTGCTATTACAAATTACCATCTGCAGTGCAGTAGCTTAGTTCACAGGTATCAGTATAAGACCCAATACTATTATGGGCTACTGGACTGTTTTAGAATATTTTGCTGAGTTTACACACCTATAATATTTAAATGATGGAACTTAAGAAGAAAAGGGGATACAGATGAATGTCCATTTTGTATCTGTGTATTCAAAGTGGTTAGGATAGATATATAGTTACATTCTCTTAATGAATAGAGGGATTTGTTCTAATGGTGTTTGTAAATAGGATATCAAGTCCGCATCTGGTACAGCAATTAACTACTAAGAAGAATGTATGCAATGTGTTAATTGTTGAAACTGTCCTACCGATTTGATTTGAAACTATCTCATTGCTATTTGTTTATCAATAAAATTATGGCAAATAAATAAATAAATAATAAAATACACCTGCAACTTAGGGGTTAATTTACCCAAGGACATTTCTATTTATAGTATAGATATCAGAAATAAAGCTACTGTGAACATTAATGCATAAGTCTTTCTATAATTTTATAGTTTTGTTTATCCAAGATTAAAACCAAGCAATGAAATGCTAAATTAAATAGAAAGTATGTTTAACTTTTGGACCTATGGTCTATTTAAAACTGTACCATTTAATTTTGAAATATATTCTCATTTTCACAAAAAAATAAATATTCACTGATAAATTAATAAAAAACAATAAATGAAGGAATAAAAAACAATAAAAAAGACAGGGTCTGGGGAGATTGCTCAGTGGAATAAGTGCTTCCCTGGCAACTGCAAGGGCCTGTGTTCAATCCCCGGTTTCACAAAAAAAAAAAAAAAAAAAAAAAAAAAAAATGACAAATGTTACAGAAAGGATGTGCTAAACATTAAAAAATGATGTTAAAGTAAACAATTATGTTGTTTAAGTACAAAAACTTCAGTCTGATCTCTGCATTCCAGCAATTCACTACTTCAGAGGCAAGGGAGTGTTAGAGAAACAACTTTATTATGAGGATCAGGCTATGTTCTAAGTACCTTCAGAACTAGCCATTGAGTGCAAAGTTTACATAAATATATTTTGCAAGGGGAAGGGGATCAAGAGATGGAGGGAGATAAAAGATGGAGCAGAGAAAGAAGATTGCAAACTCCTCATCTTTTGGGGATGGACGTACTAATCATGTGCTGCAAACATGTATTAATAAAAATAAAAAGAAGTTAATACTATTTTAATATCACCAAATCGCATCCTTTAATTTTCTAATTTCCTCCAGAAAATATTGTTTTGCATGTCATTCAGATTATTTTTGCATGTTATAAGGGTCATAATAAAGCCATACATTTAATTTTTTGAAAAGGGAAATTTAAGTAAGTTTATTTTTAGCCACTGTGGGGTATGTGCTAATTGTTAATTCTGCAGGGGTCTGTTTATTTGACCCACAGTCAGATGTTTTCTTCAGGTCACTAGATGTTTCATGTTTTGTAAATTTAAAGAAAGATTACTAATCATGAGTTCTTATGACAACTGTGTTATTTGTTCCTTTTTTCCTAAAATATCTGACTAGCAGTTAATATCTTAATCATTTAGGTGTGAAATTTCTTCAGAACTTTGAATGCTGGCAAAAGTGAAGAGAAAAGAAACAATGTTGTAAAGGACAATTTGCAAAGGACAAGTTAACCCCATTAGGATGCTTTACTCTTTTTTCATATAATAGATATAAAATAAACTGTAGAAGTAGATACTTTAACAATGGAAAGTAAAATGTGGCTTTATCATATCAGAAAAAAACTTACCAGATTAAGTATCCAAGGGCCTATTTTATATGTTTATTAGGTGGATTAGATACTAAAATCAGAATAAATAGAGAAGACTTTTTATTCTGGCTATAATTTCTCAAACTACATAAAGCAAAATTTTACAAACAAAACATCTTGAAGGCCCTACAAGTAGCTCAATAGATTAAAGTACATGCTTAGGGAGAGCGCAGCAGCTGGGGTTCAATCCCTGGCATGCTGTGCTAGTCCTGCCCCTGGGGCACACTGAGACTGCGATTGAGATTGGACGTGCACCTGTAGACCTAGCTCTTGGGAGGCCAAACACAGGAGGATCACTAAGAACCTGGTCTATGTAGTGAGACCCTGTAGACCCTGTCAGAAAATTAAAAAAAAAAAAATCTTGAGTGTAGTAGATCTTATTATAACTGTCTCATCATTGAACAGGGAGAGAGAAAATCATTATGGCCCTCCAAAACTTGGTCAAATTTAATAAGATTAGTTTTCCCTGTAACTAGTATACTTAGTTTGGCTGTGATGGTATTCCAAATTTTTGGCCACAGATGACATTTATGAATTAGAAAGGGTCACATGCGTGCCATTTTATTTGCATACCAGATGCTTCTGTTGGCATGGATGATAGGGTCACAGGAAGGTTTCTAGGTTTTGGTGTTCAGTGAGCAACAATGAATAGAAAGATTTGTACTAATAGTGTTTGCGGATAGGGTATCATGTCTGCATCTTGTACTATGAATAACCACTAAGAAGACAACAATATGCAATGTATTAATTATTGAAACTCTGCTGCTAATCAGTTTTGAAACTATCACATTGCTATTTGTTTTTCAATAAAGTTATTAAAAAACAAGAACTGAACATGGTATTTGATGGTAAAGAAAGATTAGCAAAGTTTAATCAAGTTTAATTTGGCTTATAGTGAGCAAGCTTGTGCCAGCAGGAAAAAAGTAGCAATACCACTGAATGTGTTGGGTTTAAGAATTTAAAATGTTGGGCTGGGTCTATGGCATCTCCCATTAGGTGTCCTAGGGGTGTAATTGACAACCTGATTGACAGGGATCTGAGTCAATCCAGCTGTGAATGGCATCTATGTACTAGAGAACTAGGACTGAGAAAACTTGTGTCAATGAGAAGATAAACCTCGTGGCAGTATGTAGTCAGTGAAATTTTCAAATTTCTACACATCAAATCATTTATATATAAGGGGATGTAGATTTTTCAGATAAATATCTTTATCCAGAAATGGATTTTGATCATAATATCTAATATAATATAATATTTTACATATATTCTGTATATGATTGTTAGATTATTTTATTTTTAAGAAAAAGAAACATTGCATTATTAATAAATCTTCAAATGTAGAACTGCCAGTTTTATGAATTCCTCTTCTATATTAGGTTCCTTTATAAAACTTGTAAGAGAGATTAGCTTGCATTTTTTATTCTTGCATGTTAACACTTCATGAATTGGAAATGTATGCATGAGAATGTCTTTGACTTTCGCTTATAGATACAGTGATCATTGGGAAATGAGTATTTTTATCTGCTGAATATGTGAAAAAGTTATTTTGATTGGTGTATGATCGAACATTCCTCAGTCATAGAAATGTGAGATAGTAATACACTAGATCGTTCAAACATCTACTTCATTTATTATCTCCCTTTTATACATGTTCCCCATGTCTGTATCTGTCAATTAAATATAATGTGTATTAATTTTGGACTGAATTGAAAAGCCCTGAAACAATCTTCCAGCCAGTCCTCTTATTCTGAACTGTCAACCAATATGAAGAGGTGTTCTTGATAAGACGGCAGCGAGGCAGTAGTATCCACCTCAACATACATGGGGCTGGAATGCGTTTACCAAGCAGGCCTTCCTCCAGCCTATGCAAGCTATAGTCTCTCATAAATAAACTTGTGTAATTGGCCCTAGAGATTGGGGTGTGATGCATAACTTCAGTGAAACCTAGTATATTCTACATTATAAGATGTAATGCAGTACTATAATATTTAATATCGCTTGCCACAGTGAATTTTAGGATTTATGACATTTAAAAAGAGTAATCTATTTGGTTTTAATTATTTTAACAGATGAAGAAGAATTTATTACAGTTCCATTGAAATTTTTTCCACTTAGTCCTGGACGCTACCCTTGTAAAATTTTGTTGAAATCAAGCTATGATGTGCGTGTCTATTGTGTTGAAGGTGTGGTAAATCGAGGAGTACCAGAGCTAACATTTGAATTTGAGACACCAGCATTTGAACCTAGTATCCAGAAAATTCCATTTGTAAGTACAAACTCTTATTTTACAGTTGTTGGTTTGTATTTAAAGATATTTTAAATTTACTCAGTTTTTTTTCTTAAAAGTTTGACACTTTAATTCTAAAATAACCTAACAGAGTAGCAGGAAAAATAACATTTATTAATATGCAGAAACCTGAGAGACACACATAGGCACATACAGTAAAAGCTTGGAAGGCAGGGCAAGATAGTTGAACCTTACTTAGCAGCCAAACAGTGGATTAAGGATTGGGCATCTGGGTGAGAAGGAGTTTGTGGCTCTGGATGCTAAGGGAGAGCTGGTATGCAGTGAGCATAAATGAGAGTTTCATGTAAAGTCTTCCCGCTAACAGCCACACACCTTACTCTCTGGCTGGAGCAGCTGTAAAGTTTCCAACATCTTCCTCCCATAAATTGATCTTTCCAGACAGAAAAAAATATGTTAGGTAGAAAAGCCTCTTTTTGAGTCTACTTTTTCCTTAATGCAAATTGTGTCCTTTACAGATGTAAATTTACTTTACAAAAGAGCAGCCTCTCAGAGTTGTTTTGTATGCAGTATCTCAGAATAGACATCTTGAAATGTTTTAAAGAAATATATTTCAGAAAAGCTTATTTTGAGTTTCCTTACCTACAACTGCCTTCTGAATAAATGACTGCAAACTTTTCATCCTGAATAACTACATATTGACAATTGGATCATCTGCTGCCTATTATTCCTCCTCACTGATGTCAATGTTTCTTTCTGAATATAAATTACTATCATGTTCTTCACATGAACATTTACTTTGATGAATCTCTGCTGAAAAATTTAACTCCAGCATCCTGATCCTATCCTCAAATTCCTAAAAAAATATTATGACCCCTTGGCTTCACCAGAATTATGAACTACCATCCCACACATACTCTGTCCCAAATTCTATTGTGATCTTTTGACTACGATGCATTCATAGACAGTGAGAAATGATTAACAGTAGTGTGGCCTCATATTAGAGTAATAATGTAGCATGGGAGATAATGCAGTTGTGAAAAACTGTGGATTTATAAATTGATACATTTTTATTGTTTAATAAAGATTTAACAAAGTCATACTGTAGGGCTAAAATCAGTTCTTTTGAATGCCATCTTTGTTATCTAAGAAACACAAGACTTAGAACACATTTTATTTCTCTTGGGAATATATTGTGTCCACCCAAGCCATATTGCCCTCATAACAATAGTTAGTAATTCAAACCAAGGAATATTTCTCTACTAAATAATCCTTAACAGATCAAGTAGATAATGTTCCTTCATGACACAGAAAGAACACATAGTCATTCTTTGGCCTTTTGATCGCATTTTTAGTAGTCATTCTTCAAATATATGATTTTAACATTGGCATTTTTATATAACAATATAATATACTTTCTCTGCACATACCAAGAATTCATATGTACCTCAACTTCATCAACATCATCCCACTGATGTTTTTGGACCTTTTTTCTTTTCATCTGTAGAATAATGAAACAGACAAAGATTGGAAATGTGAAGTTAAAATAGAAGGCAAATGGTTTTATGGACCTCCTATCTTATATATAAGACCTGGAAAAACTGAGGAATATCCTCTCACATTTAAACCTCTGTCAGAGTGTGAAATTTTGGTAAGAATTCCTTAATTCTTTTTCCCATTATTAATATGTAAATAAGTATATGTGTGATGTTAGTGTATTTTATTTGATAACTTTACCATGAAAATTTACATTTTCCATAAATTTGGCTATTTTTCCTCAAAATTGAAATAACTGGTTTTAATTTGAAGGATAAATAATTTGAAACTTACGTTGCTGCTATACTTAGATTACATTTATACCATGTACTCAATAATATTGCATTTTTTCTGTTCCTTTTCATTACACAAATCACTATCTCTAAAACATGTTCTTAAGGCAATGATTTGGAGGATGTATACCAGGGTTTTAACTCAGGGCCTTCTTGAGCTATATCTGTAGGCCCTGTCCCTCTTAAGTCTTGAAACAAAGTCTTACTAAGTTGCTGAGGTGCTCAGGTTGGGCTGGAACTTGTGGTCTTTCTGTCCGAGAATGCCAGAATTCTGGGATTGCACAGATATACCTAGGACATGCCGAGGACAATGATTTTTTGACAAGTACATAATAAGCACAAACAGTATGTATTAGAATGTGTGATACTCCATAATTTAGAAAAAGTATAGAGAAATAGATTCTCATCAGCGGTTAAATCAGTAGAAACATTGATATGTGAACTGGAAAAGTCAATGACTAACACCCATATACAAACTCATTTCATCAGACTTGGTATGAATATCATGGCAGGAGTTGTTTGACATTGAACTGTGCCCACCATAAAGATGAAATTTCACTGGTTTGTCATAGGGTAAACTTATTTTGAGAAATGAAGTGGATGGTATGGAGCGTATCATCAACATAAAAGGGATTGGAAAAAGCCCCCTGGCTTTTGGAACTGTCATTGTGGATTGCATGGTGGGGGATGTGACAAGTAAATCCATAATGGTTCCTAATTATTCAATGGATGTTTTAACATTTAAGGTAAGATGCTTTCTATTTTGAAAATATTTTCGTCCACATGTATATTTAGTTATGTGATGTTGATATAGGGGAATGAAACTCCCAACCTTAACGATATCTGGGACAAGTTCATGTTCTCTAAAATTGAAGAATGAATTTTAGGAACAACAGAGGTTAAGAGCAGAATATATTTATTGAGAGAAAGAAAGCTCCTGTCCAAGAGATAGATAGACTGAAAGGCACATGAGTCAGTTGCCAAGGAACCTGCCTTTTCTATGGATTTTATAGAACAAAACCAGGAGGTGAAGAATTTCTAAGTTGGAGGAAAAAATGAGAAATTTCAAGGTGGGCATGAGGTGGGACTAAACTATGGTCAACCAATAAATTTACAAATACAATTGCTCAGGTGAGATTAAATACATCAAGATCAAATGGGCATTCCAGTCATGTGGTAAGGAGACATGAACACAGAACAGGGGCTTTTCCTTGAGGATGATGGGCTGGCAACTCTTCCTTACTTTTTCAAGGTGACTGATACCTACTTAGAATAGTAAACCCTTATGTCCATCCCTAGGGAGGTACATAGGTGCATTTGCTTAATCTCTTTTCTTGCGATCTGGCACAGAACAGGAGTGCCTGTCTCTCCCACAGTTGTGAGGTGTTGTCTTCCACACTGGCACCTTGGAGGGCCTAGCCCTGTCTATCTGCCTATAATATGTCTATCTAACTCAGCTGCCTACAGCTATATGTAAAAATTATATGAAAATTCTAAAACATTTCATTTTATTTAATGTAGAGAAGCAATAACCAAAAAGGTGATTTTTATAATTTTAATTCAACTAACAGCTGTTAGATTTAATTTCTATTGCCAAGTGAAATTAACAATAATTTTTTTCAGTTTTATGTATTTAGTACAGGGTAACACTATGCAGTACGGACTCATAGGGAATCTCCAGTTTCAGCCTCCCTAGTGCTGGGATTACAGGTGTGAGCCACTACACCACGTCTGGGTGGCTGGCTTGACACACTGGAGTGGGATGGCAGGGCATGTGGTGCTGGGGATGGAACCAAGGTCCTTGTGCTTTCATAGGCAGGGGCTTAGACCACTGAGCAATTTCTGCAGCCCACTAAGTTTATTTTCAAGTACCAGTGTATAACTGCAAACACATTGAAATCTACATTGGACCGTGTGTATTTTTGCTTAAAGAAATTGTACATAACAGTAAAACATGTTTTAAAAAATGTAGGAAAGATTCTAAATGTTTAATTACAGACATATAGGTATAGAAAAATTTCAACAGTATGTCCTGTTATTACTAGTCACTCAATTATGTTGGCTTAGATCCATCTTCCTCCTGCTGATCACACATAAGAGGCCATGTACTTGAAAGGAAAAAGTTTTATGCATCTTGTATATCCAATATCATTTTAGAAGTAAGAGGGGGGAAGAGGGATACAGTGGGACAATGTGTATCTCCAGGCTTGCTTAATCCCTCTCAACTAGCTTTCTCCAGCCCTTCCTATTTCCTATAGAAAAGAAACTGGACCCTGAGCTTCTGAGGCCAGCACCTGAATAGTTTCTTTATTTTCTTTGTTTATGCTAAGAACATGATTTGATGATTATGTCATCCTACAGAAGGAAATTTAGGGAAGCTCTTATGTATAAAAGAAGTTAAGGCCGGTAAGGTAGCTCAGCAGACTAAGCACCTGCTTAGGTAAGTGCAGGAACTGGTGTTTAATACCTGGAACCATATGCTGAGCCACCCACCGAATCTGGTTATTGTGTCACATGCCTGTAATCCCAGCTGAAAACAGGATGATCACTACAGGTCCAAGCTGCATAGTGAGACCCTGTACCAAATACATAAGAAAAGAAGCCACTTTTCTCTAGAAGAAAAAAAAATTCAAACATATAAAGTTTCATTTTCCGTACTGGGTACACTATCATTTGCCAAATATAAATAGTAGTGGAAATGTTAAAAATGAATAATCAATATTTTTCATGATGTTTTGTACTTTTCTCTCCTCCTTTCATTTGTTTAAACCATTCTTTAGTAAAACTTTCAAGAATGTCCTTAAGGCATTATGCCAGAGCATATGCTTAGCTTGTATAAGGCCCTGTATTCAAACACCTGCGCAAAAATATCACCTGTTACTTCCAACTTTATTTTCAGTTAATTATATGTCCAATACAATCCTCAAAAGAAATGTCAATTATTTACCCATGCATTTAACATAGATGGCTGAATTCTATTTTAGGCTACAGAAGTGTAGATCTTTTATGCACTTTCCCTCTCCTTTTGTTATAAATCTTAAATTATATGTAATTAGATTACAAGTGGAGTGAATACACTAAATAAAAATTTCCCATCTTTCTTATTTATAAAAACTTTTAGTGTCATGCCTTGCCTTTGTAGTTATGTCATTTTCCCCAAAGTAGCTTTTTCTGTCCTTCAATACATTTGTTCTTGTTTCCCTATTTAGCTTTATCTCTTGCCATCTGTAGCACTAACAGTTAGGCCTCTGTAGACAGTCTGTTCTTTTACTACTACCTGGAATTTTCTGCTAAATTCCATATTGTACGGCTTCTATCTAAATGTTTCCCCAAGCGTTGTACACTCCTGTGGCTTTGGGAAAGTTACTAGATCATGATTGTGATACTGGATCAGGGTGTGTGGTAATTGGATCAGTCTAATGATTGGATTAGCATAGTTTTGGCGGTGGCTGGATGTACTTGCTGAAACTGGAGGTCCCACGCTGAATGTGTGTGGCACAAACCAATAGGTTTGTAACCTGGATGGAATATAAATAAGAAGGCTTGCTGATGCTTTTTTCTGCCCTCCCTGGCACAGTTTCTCCTGTGCAGTACCACCTTATTTTAGAGCCAAATGAACATAAACTGAAAATTCTAAAAACTGTGATGTAAAACAAACTCTTTCTCTTTAATCCCTGATTGCTGGGTATTTTGTCCCAGCAATGAGAAAGTAACAAAGATACTTATCTTCTATACATCTGTATATAATATCTTATCATTTTTCAGGCAAAGCTTAGAGCCACTTTTTCCAATATTCTCTATATGCATAAACTTGAATTAGATTATTATCTTCTGTCCCCAAAATATTTTTGTATGTACTTCACCAGCACACCTAATATTTCATGTTGTCATTAACTGTTTATTATTCTTATCAGATGACAAATTTGGAGCACAGTGTAATCCTCTCACTCACATTTTTGTACCTAGCATAAATTATACTGTCCAGAACATAACATTTTAAGAAAGATTTATTTAATGAACAGATAAAAATATATAATGAGTAGCAGTTGAAAGGAAAAAGAAAGCATGCCAGTTATTTCTCCATCTTTGGGAAAAATTACCCAAATCCCATAATTTAAGGACAGAGGTGTTTTTTTGACTGATGAATTGTTGAGGATTCAGCCTCTTGTTGGATGTCTAAAATTCACAAATGGTATAATGATGGAGGAGAGGTTCTTATCCTATGGAAGCCAGGAAGCAGATTGAGAGGCAAAATATGAGTAAGACAACACCATAGATCTTTCCAGGTCACTTCTACCATGACCCATATCTACCCATATCCTACCTAGTAACAACAAATTTGCTTTGAACTCATCAGCAGACTAATCCAGTGTTTAGAGTAATGGCCCTGTGATTCAGTCACCTTACAAAAACATGAGACTGGGAGACATTTCAGAGCTTATTGTAACATTGAACCCTGCCCTCCCAAACACTAATCTCTTTCTCATTATGGAAATTGCACTTAGTACATTTCTAAGTATTGACAATGTCTTCATATTTGCAGCAATGCTTAAAAATACAAGTGCAAAATCTCCTCTGAGTCTCACAGAAAACTCTTAGCTTGCATTCTTTGGGTTTTTCGATTGCAATTTCCTGATTATTATTGATGTTGAGTGCTTTTTGTGGTCAAAAATATGTACTGAGAGTTATCTAGCTAGATTTAGTTTAAATGGTTGTAAATTTTTTGTCATTTTACAAAGTATCATGATCGGGATTCAACCACATATATGCCTTCCTTATTCATTAAGCCTGTTAGGGTTACTAACCTTTGTTCCATTAGTGTATAAAGCTTCTTCATGATGAATTTGGTTTGGTATCCACAATCAATGTGAGTGTATTATTGTCTTCTGTCTTCTTCATGGAAGAATTGGTGGTCAATGGGAACTTGATGATCACATAGTGGCCAATCTTATTTCTCTTGAGGGACTTTTTTCAAGGATACTTGAATTGCACATGAACTCAATGTGTTGGGTTGTCAGGAAGTGGGTGGTGTAAAGATGTGGATGTATTTGTGTATGTGTGTGTGTATTTGTGTGTGTGTGTGTTTGTGTGTGTGTGTGTGTAAGTGCCTTTTGGTAATTCTTTCTTGGCCTTTAAATCATTTGCTTTGGTTTTAACCTTAAGAAAAGCAGGAGTTACTTTTTGCTTTTAAAGCTATCTTAGTAAAAAGGTATGTGGATCACTCTTTCATATGCTCCTTGGTTATGTCTTACTTGCAATACCTTCTTTTAAGGTTCCTTGCTCATTTTTTTTTTGGTGGTACCAGGGATCAAACTCAGGACCTTGTGCTTGCTAGGCAAACACTTATTCCATTCAGCTATCTCCCCGGCACTCTTCATTTTTAAATTGAGTCATTTAGTTTTTGTTACTCAGTTTATATGTATTCTTTACTAAATATTTTATAGTCTCTTTGATATATGATTGTAAATTTTCTCCCAGTTCATAGGTTTCCTTTTCATTCTATTGCTTCTTCCCTTTGCCATAAAGAATCTTTCTGAATTTGTTGCGGTCTCACCTGCTTATTTTTTCTTTTGTTTCTATGATTTTAGTGCTGTATCCAGTAATCTATTGCCAAAGACAATGTCAGAGAACTTTCCCATTATATTTTCTTTGAAAATTTCTCTTACTTCTCAATACTGCTTTGGGTATTCATGGTCTTTTGTAATTCTATTGTAAATGAAATAATTATCTTGAGATAACTCCACATCCATATTCAATGCAACAGTATTCAACAGAGAAAATATGAAAAAATTAAGTTCTCATCAGTAGATGCTTGGACACACAAAATATGTCATCAGTGTATGTGAGGTAGAAAATTATACAGACACAAAATTTCTGCCATTTGCCACAACATGTATCCCTTGGGTGACATAATGCTAAGGGAAATAAGTCAGGAGGTAAAGGGAGAATGGGGAAATGCTTGTTGTCCTATATACATCTGGGTGATTATATATAATAGTACTGTATGTTATACTTACAAATTGCTAAGACATTCGATCTTAAGGTTTTTCATCATAAACATAAAATATGGTAATTTTGAGAGTTGATGGATGTATTAATTAACTATATTATGATTATCATCTTATAATATATCTGTATAACAAATGATCAGATTTTAAATCCTTGAAAACATACAGATTTTATTCATCAATTATATGTTAGAAATAGAAAAATATGAACAAAAAATCCCTCCTTATTGACCAACACAACCCCTCAAGATAATAAACATGATACCTCAACCATGTCCTTTGTCTGAAAGGAACGTACAAATGCTGGCCCCTGAAGTCAGGGATAAAGTTCTTTTCCACATGGGAGGAAGAGAACTAGGAATAGCCAGGTAGTGAAACATTAAGATCATTTTCTTATCTATTGTCTCATTGTATTCTTCCTCTGTCTTACTTGCAATAAAAATCTATGCACACCTGAACATAATGAGAAAGAAATTTTAGGCAAAGGCATTCTGTCATTTTGGAGATAGTTTGAATATTTTGTTCTCATCAAAATAAATAGTCTCCTTGATTTGGGTAGATAGCTCTGCAGTCTAAGCACCTCCCTGGCAATCACAAGGACAAAGTCTGACCCCAGGTACCACATGCCGCACCAGCCCTGAAACTGGCTGTATCTCTGGGTTTCTGCATTTCTTTGCCCACCTTCAATTCACACTACAGTAGAAATCCATAACAATGGAAACATCAGTTCATTTATAGCTTTTGCAAATTTGAGAGGAAGGTAGCATCCCATTCAACACAGAGAAACACTCCAATTTAGAGAAAAGGTAAAACAAAAGGACATAATGTTAGTATGTAATTTTAGTCAAGATCAGGCCCAGGGGTGGAAGTATGGAATCCTCTTTATCTCCAAGGTGCTCTCAAGCTAGAGGAAGCTTGAAGAAGCAGCTGACCTTTAATCACAGTCTTGGTCTTTAAACCTCTGATACACATTAGCGACAATGATAAGTTCAGGAAGCAAAAGATATGAGAAGAATATACTGAACTTAATTGCATAGCATATTATCAAAGTGGGAAAATATGGAAAAGAGTTGAAAATCTATCTAAAGTCATGAAGATATAAGCACTTAGAGCATAATAGTGAAAGTTTCAAAAGGCAAAATAAAAAATTTTCAAAGAATTCTGAAAAGTTTACAAACATAAGAGATTTTCAGTGAAGGTAACACATTTTTCTCCTTATAAATTATGGACACTGGAAAACATGAGATGATATTTTTCAGTGTTGAAAGAAAAATCCTGTCAAATAGGAATTTTATATATAGCAAAGCTGCGTTTCATTAGAAAAAGAATAATTAAAATATTCCAAGATAAACCAAAACTGTGTACATTTTCTCTAGAAAATCTTCTCTGGATACAATAGTATAGGAAGTCCACCAACATGAAGTAAAAGTAAAGTAGGAGAACTCAAGTACAAATGAACTCAAAAATAATAATAAAGATGACTACATAGCTAAATAGAATATACAAAATAAGTATGAGCTCTTTGCAATTCTTTCTCTGATACATAATTTACAAGAAAATACAAATATCAGTAATCTTATGTTGATAGGCTTAAAATGTGTAAAAATGTATTAGGCATGAAAATAATAATATTTCCAGAAAATAGTAGTACTGCCTGTTATAATGTTAAAACTTAGAAGCCTAAGGCAGGATGCTTACTGTGAGTTGCAGGTCAGCCAGAAGTACACACTGAAGCTCTATCTCAAATAAATAAATAAATAAATAAATAAATAAATAAATAAAAAATGGTAACACATGAAATGCAAAGAACAGAGAATATTATAGCAATGTTTATGTACAATCAAAATTTCAATAGAAACAATCCCAAGTATATTATTTTATTCTCTTGAATTATTAGTTTTTTGTGATTAATGGTGTAGAGTGTGCCTAAGGAGAGTCACATGGAAAGAAAACATTCTCTCAGGCTTTCTGATAGAGAAAATTGGTCAAGCAGTGGCTGTGACTCATCCACATGGCTGACACTGACAAAGGATCTACAGTCTGAGGTGCAGGGTCTCAGGATAAATCCTGAGGGGATTTGACTGACCTTATCAGATACAAAAGTTACATTTCTTGTTACATACGTCTTGCTCTTTCTTGGTCTTAACCATCCAGCAGAAAAGTATGAAAATGAAGTATTAAAAGTAAATCCATATTAATATAATGAGCTGTAAAAGGCTCAAGTCAACAACTTCAACAACTTTTTTTTTAAATTTCCAATCTGAGTTCCTCTGTTCGTTTCTGCAATTGTTTCTTTTCTTTCTTTCTTTCTTTCTTTCTTTCTTTCTTTCTTTCTCTTTCTTTCTTTCTTTCTTTCTTTCTTTCTTTCTTTCTTTCTTTCTTTCTTTCTTTCTTTCTTTTTTTTTTGTGGAACCGGGGATTGAACTCAGACACTTGGGCTTTCCAAGCAAGTGATTATTCTACTGAGCCATCTCCTGGGCCCCAAAATGTATATTTTTTTCTTTGTTGGAACCAGGGATTGAACTCAGGCCCTTGTGCTTGCCAGGCAAGCGCTTATTCTACTGAGCCATCTCCCCGGCCTATTGTTTCTTTATTTCACACACTATTAATTTATTGATTTCAGCAGTGTGATTCCAAATTTGTTCTGTGCTAGTGTCCTCTGCACTTGTTATGGGTGGGCTTGGGGTCTGAGATTGCATTTTGCTCCTTCTCATTGTCATTTTGTATAGCACTGTCTTCTGTCCTTTGTTGTAGAGCTTTTGTGCAGTTCTAACCTTAGCACATACTGTAATTCGGGTGCAGATCTACAAAGTATGAAATTATCCTATTGCGTCTGACTTGGGTCTGGCTGCTATGCTCTGCTCCTTCCTGTTGCAGCCCTTGGGAGTGACCCTATTGTGCCCCTCTGGCAAGATGTTCTGCTCCTGAACTAGCTGGCTGATTCTGTCCCTTACTCTCTTTGCAGGGAGTACATCTGCAGAGTTTCACCCCAGGCCTTTATGCCAGGCCTGAGCTGGGTCTGAAGGGGATAAGGGTGTGTAGGGGAAAAAGGAAACTCTCCCACACACTCGCTGGGCCTGGGCTAGGGCTGGATCTGGGGGTCCTGAGGACACAGAAAAAGTTCTCACTCACTTCGCAGGCATGGGGGGGGCTGCAGAATGGTGGGGGTGTCCCAAGGATGCACCAGAGTGTCTCACTCATGCGGCCTGCCTAGGTTTGGACTGGAGAGCCATTAAATTTAATTAATATAAAAATTTAAAAAAACTGATGAACAAATTCATTAAAAATATTATTTTGTACGTCAAATTGAATAAAGCAAATTGTATGTGACCTGTAAATAACATTCATATTTCCTAAACATCAGCTATCTTGATTTACTTAGTGACTAAAAATAGGTATTGCTTTGCTGGATGAGTGATCTCCTGAGGCTAGGGATATAGTTCAGTGGTACAGCTCCTGCCTGCCAAGCACAAGGTCTTGAGTTGGATTCATAGTACCAAAGAAAGCAAACACAAAAGCAACAAAAAGAAATGACTGATCTCTTCTGTTTTCATTTTTATAATTCTCAGACTTCAATAAGCATAACATTTTTATGCCTTGCTTTTTAAAAAAAAGTGAATAATTTTTAATGGAAGTATGTAAATTAAATGTCAGTACATTTGTGCCTAGCATTAATTTCACATATTTTAACATGTCAAAAATATAGAAAATTATGTTATATGACATTATGTAATTCTTATTTTCTAATTCTATTTTCTAGGTATCTTCAGACCTTCCAATAGTGTCGGGTGATCCATATATCACAATAGAACCAGATAGTTCAGTTTCATATGTTATAAATGTGAGCCCTTTGAAACGTGGAGTACTCAAAGGTATTAAATCCATTGACAAAATATTTTTAGGTACTAAATTATGATAGCAATATGAGAAGAAACAGAAATATTGTTAATAGATCTTATAAATAAATGACCCAGATGGAAATTTAGGTTTCTATTTCAGGCACTAACTTTCTAAATACTGTAATAAGACCTTTGCAGCATATATTTTATGCATCATATCATATTTGTTTGTAGAAAAAATTCCTAAAAGTAGAAAAATACATTCAAGGGTATTTACATCTATAGTTGGACTATAAGTCAAATAGTTATACCAAATTAGAAGATATTATAAAAAAGCTACATGCATTCAATTTATATATGGAAAATAGGTTTCCTATGTGGTATGTATTTTCTATTTGTCTCAGAGTATTTATTTGTACCAGTTTTTCTTAATGTCTTTGAGCAGAGTTACTTGCTGAAGAATGGGGGTGGGACATATAAGCAATTGGAAGGAGGAAGGTAAAAAGGGATAAAAGATAATAACTAGACCTAAGGGCTATGTTTCATTAGGGAATAAATTATACTAATTTTATGACAAATGCTCATTTGGTGGATAGATCTTAATAAGGAGATAATTATAATGTAAGTAAGTGGACACAACTTTAAAAGTACAGGAGGCACATTCCTAATAATCCCCTTGTTCTCCTTAGAAGTACTAACCTCTCAATCCTGTGTGCTCTATCAACAAATCTTCAATAAAAGTGTATATACTAACCATAGAAGGCATAGTGAATAGAGACCCATTGCAAAACATAAATTCCATAGAGTAGGGTGGATGCCAATGTTATGAACAAACAGAAGGAAAATTTCAGAATGTCAAACACAACAATCCAGTTATTAACACTGTAATAGAATGTGCTGTGTGGAATCAGTCCACATACCCACCCCTACTTTATTTTTAATACTTTAAATTTATTTGTTTGATACAGGGTCTCACTACGCAGCTCAGACTCATAGTGATCCAGACAGGCACTTAGACCACCAAGTGATCTCCTTAGTCCCTAACCCACCCCTAATTTCAGAGTCCTTATTCTCAGATATCAGCATAGCAAGGATTTGTGAACATATTCTGAAACCTCCACATTATTTTTGAAACAGTCTTTATAACACTCATAAATAAATCATGCGTTGGGTACATTTAAACTATATTAACCCTATTGCAAGCATGACTATAGAGTTCATATTTTGCACTTTTGTATATAATATAGAAGTATTTTATTTAAAGAAATTTCAATTTCAGCCAAGTGTAGTGATATACACCTGTAATCTCAACAATCTGAGTGGTTGAGGCAAGAGGATGGCAAATTTGAATGTAGTCTGCGAAAATCAGGGAGACTATCTCAAAATATAAAAAGAAAAAGGGCTGGGGATCTAGCTCAGTGCAAAACCTCTGAATTCAATCTATAGTATTACAAAATGTTTAGTTTTTATTTTGACTATCAGTAGCAATGGTTGGTGAATTTTTCCTTTTCAAATTTAAATTATTTTTCTAAACAAGTCATTCACAATTTTCCTGAGTATTTTTCATAAAACATTATAAATTTCATTTTCCTGTAATATAAAAAGCAGTGCATTATGCTACTTATGAAAAATGTAAAATAAAACTCACAAATTATCGAACACCACTGAAATAAGAATTTTTATAACATTTATGATAAAATCTCATAGTCTGTGAAACACCTAAAATTATTTAAATGGACTTAAGAAAAATTACATAAGTATATTTGATAGATTTTACACCTCAGAATCATTGTCTGTTCCTTTTATAAGAATTTTTGAGATTATAAACTTTTCATTTTTTATTGAGAATATAAGCTTTTAAAGCATATTTTCAGTAGTCGTAGAGAAACTCTTCTTTTTTAAATTGAAGATGCAGAGGTTTATTTTGGCTCACTGCTTTCAGAGACTTCAGGCCATGGTTAGCTGGTCCAGAGGTAGAAACATTATGTTAGAAAGGTGTGGTAGAGGAAATCTGGCCAAGTCATAGCATCTGAGAAGAACATATGAGAAGAACACTACCAAAGGAAGAATCAGAGTTCTAAAGAGGACACTCTTATTTTTTCTCATTTTTTCCCTTCTTTGATTTTCCTCTCCTCCCTCCCTAGTTCCTTTTTAATCATTTCTCCCTATCTCACAATATCTATTACACATTTTAATCTTATTTACATTTCAGTTTCTTGCATCAGTGAGATAATGTGATATTTATTCTGTGACTGATTTATTTCATTTAATGAATATGATCTCATGGTCCAACCATTTAGCTATATTTGTCTCAATTTTATCTTTATGTTTGAATAGTATGTTATTATATATTTTAAAAACCCACCTCTTTTTCATGCATTCATTGGTTGATGGGAATCTGGATTGCTTCCAAGATTTGGCTGTTTTACAAACGGTTCTGCTATGAACATGGGTGTACCTAGATCTCTGTGGTATGATGCTTTGAATTCTTCTGGGAAGATACCCAGAAGGGAAATAGCTGAGTCAAATGGGACCTCTTTAAAACATGAAAAAACAGAATGCTTCAGGAACTTGATCAGGTGTCCTGGGTTGAACAGTGCTGGAACATAGGTTTGGTGATTATTTTGAATATTGCCAATATGATGTGTCTTCTTCCACCAATGAATTTGAGTCTGATGTAGGAATAGTTATCTTTAAATCATTTCAGTCAACATATACTCTGATAAACTGAAAGATTAATCATGGTGCCAGGGAAATGATAGAGGAAGATATTAATTTCCACAGTGAGAGTCTTAGAGGTCTTCATGGGAGATAATGCATTTGAACAGGAACTGGAGGAATTAACTACAGTTTATCAACTTATAAGGATGGGGAGGACATTTCTGAAGAAGTAATAGCTGTATTGAAATATAAATACAGGCAATTAAAATAAAAAATAATGATGCTTAGGTGTGACTCTGTGTGTGTGTGTGTGTGTGTGTGTGTGTGTGTGAGAGAGAGAGAGAGAGAGAGAGAGAGAGAGAGAGAGAGAGAGAGAGAGATTTGATAGGAATACATAGAGCAGCATGGAGTTAGAAATATAGACAGCACTACTGAGGAAAAGTTTTGTTTTAGCACACTTCTATTTTTATTAGAACAGATTTTCGGGATATAATGATTAAATTCATTATGAGGAATTGATACATGTACATGTCACATCTTCATTATTTTTCCTTGCCCTTCTCTCCCTTCTCTATTCCTCCGTCTCTTGGTTTAATTCCAATTTGCAAAAGATATTCTTGCTTCCTATTACCTTTCGTTTTTCACTTTATTTATAGTGTGATATTTAAGCTAATCTGTTAGAAGTATTTGTCTTAATTTTCTTTTCTCAAGATGCATCTTTTTACCTACAAATGACTCAAGCATATCCTTCTTTACGACAGAGTAGTATTCCATTGTAGAAAATTATATGCCACATTTTCTTTACTTAGTCACTTTTTGATGTACACATTGAGCCTCTTCCAAGATTTAACTATTATGAATTAAAGCATGGGTTTATGTACATCACTATAATACATTGTCATTTTCTCCTTCACAAAGATACCTAGAAGATGGTTTGCTGAGTCAATTGGAATTCATATTCTTAGCTTGTGGTATAATCTTCACACTGGTTTCCATATGGTTTGTACTAGTTTACATTGCCTGTGACAATGTAGAAGTGTTTCTTTTCCACAGCAGTCTTACCAGTGTTTATTAATATTTAAAGATTTCATAATAGTCATTCTTTCTGAAGTAACACAAGACCTCAGTAATGTTTTAAATCTGCATTACTCTAATGAGTAGCGATGGTGAAGGTTATTCTTAAAATGTCTTGAATGACTGTTGTACTTCTTATTCTGAGAAGTAAGAAATATCTATTCATTGTAGTTGCACTTTTCTTGATTGTATTTTTGTATTTTGTGGAATCTATAAATTTTTGGAATTCTTCATGTATCCTGGAAATCAGTACTGTTTCCAAGCAGTAGCTGGGAAATATTTTTCCCAATCTTCAGGTTGTATCTCTACTCTGTTGCTTGTTTCCTTTCCTATGCACAATTTTAAAACCTTGATGTAATCCCCTCTGTTGATTCTTTTTTTTTTTTTTTTGCTACTGCAATTGGGGTTCTGCTCAGAATATCCTTGTCAATGCCTTTGCATGCAAGACTTTCACTTATTTTATTTTCTTGTTCAATATTTGTACTATAATATTTAGATATTTGATACATTCTAATTTTGTTTTAGTACACTATGAAAGATATGGATTTATCATTAATCTTCATCATATAGATGGCCTATATTCTCAGCACCATATGCCAGACTCCACCTTTTCTCTACTGTATATACTTAACCCTTTTGTCAAATGTCAGATGGCTGCATGTGCTTAAGTTTGTTTTTCAATAAGATATTCTATTTCACTAATAAACATCTCTCTTTGTGCCAATGTTCTATTGTTTTGATTACTATAACTTTATGATATAATTTGAAGTTTGGGTTTGTGATGACTCTGGCTTTCCTCTTGTTATGAAGATTCCTTTTGCTGTTCTGGGTCTTTTCTGTTTCCATACAAAATTCTCAATTATTTTCTCTAGTTGTATGGGGAATGGTGTTAGTATTCTCATTGGGATTGTATTAAATCTCTATATCAGTTTTGGAAATATCGCCACTTTGAAAATATTGGTTGCACTTATTTCAGAATTGTGGATGTCTTTTTTTTTTCTTTTCAAAGTTTTATTGATAAACATATAGCAATGAGACAGTTTCAAATCAAATCGAAAGTACAATTTCAACAAATAATACACTGCATATATTCTTCTTAGTGGTTAATTGCTGTACAAGATGCAGACTTGTGATCCTACTTACAAACACCATTAGAAAAAATCATTCTATTCATTAAGAGAATGCAACTATATATCTATCCCAACCACTTTGAATACACAGATACAAAATGGACATTCATAGTTATATCCCAATTATTTTAAGTTCCGTTGTTGAATATTATAGGTGTGTAAACTCAG